GCAGCTAAAAGGGATCTGAATTTGGTTCAAACTGCCGCTGTAGCCAACTACAAACCAGGTTCAGCACTGTTTTAGGAACCGTGATGGCTTCTGAAACGGTATGGGAAGTGCTTTGTCTGTGGCTACATGCAGTCAAATCATGTTCAGCATTAGTTCGACACCACTGATTGGTGATGTCCTTGCAACAGATCCTTTTCCTAGCTTAGACCAGGGTTTCGAAACTTTTGAACGGAGTGTCTGCTTCCGTGGTTAATCGCAGTGTTTCCTCTGCTGTGGTACGGCAGCAAGAGGAAAAAGGAAGGAGAACCGTCTGTGCTACTGAAGAGGGTGGACAGGGAAGAACCTTCTCTGCTGATTTTTGTTAATGACATAGGAGCTGCACACAGAGCGACAAAACAGACAAACTGTACAGGACAGCGAGCAACTAAGCAAACCAAAGGCTGACATACTCGCCAGTGGCTTTTCTGTCTCAAAAAATTATCCCTCATTTTCATTTTTCCAAAAGGTGAAACATTCATCCGGGCCAGTTCCTTTACCTTGGCACTGACTGCAGCTAAACTACCTTTAAAGTCCTTTTTATTAGAGCGCCCTGGAATTAAGACCAAAGGTAGAAACGATTGTCTGCCAGCTCTAGAAGCCGCACTGCATAATTTTGACCCCGGTAAAGATGAAATCCTTTCGCTCACCAGTCACTCACTCAGCACAGGGGGTTCTATTCATCTGTTTTATTGGGTTTTTTAACCACATGCTGAGCTTAAGGCGGTTCAGTGTCAGATTAATGTCACCGGCTCTCCAGCTGGGATCACATTGTTACTGGAAAATCTTTATCTTTAGGTCTCGAAGAAAAATAAAATCCCCCTTGGTGAAATCCAGTGACTTTCTAACACTAGATCTTCTTCATGCTGTCAACTATTTGCAGTTTGGCATTTTACTTGCTACTTCTCAATCTATTTTTTCCAATTCTAATAAACCTATTCGGTAAACTGGACTACAGTGGTTTCTGCTCTTTCATTGTGGGTGATCTTAGGGACCTGGAAAACAAAAGATCCATTAAGCTAGGACAAGAATATGTTTAAAAGTGATCTGCAAAGGGAAAACATGTTTTGGTTTTGGTTTATATTGGTCCTATATGATGAGAAAGACAAGGAATGTCACCTCTTTCAAGAAAAAAAAAGAAGTTATTTTCTGCTGCTTTTTTAGATTAGAAATATGAGGCCTGGTTTTGGTGGGCCATCCTTTGGGAGACTGGGGTTGGGGTAGTTACCTTCCAGCAGACTGAAACCTGGGCTGCGGTTCTCCCAGTCCTCAGGAGAGGAGGCAGGGGGTGTTGAGTCATAGACTGTCTCAACTAAGGGCTGAGAAAGTTGCATCTCAACTCACAGCCTGTTGTGATGTTCTGTCCTACTCCGATCCTCCAGCAAACAAGGAAGTGAAAACCACTGGACTAAATCAATGGAGCTAGGCCAGTTTTCACCCACCGAGGATCTGGCCCTGATGTATCTGGAGCTCTCTGATCTATTCGTTGTGAACAGTTTATTAGGGCTTGTCCTCACGTACAGTGCTACAGCAGTGCAGCTGAGCCGCTGTAGCGCTTTAGTGAAGACACTACTCCGCCGATGGGAGAGCTTCTCCTGCTGGTGTAGTTACTCCACCTCCCCGAGAGGTGGCAGCTCGGTCGATGGGAGAAGCTCTCCTGTTGACATCGTGCTGTCTACGGGGGGGTTAGGTCAGTATAACTACACCGCTCAGGGGTGTAGATCTTTCACCGCCCAAGTGACGTACTTCTACCGAAATAGGTCTGAAGTGTAGACCTGGACTCAGATTTGATACTTTTTTTTGTTCACGAATCAGCCAACAACAGATCTGGCATTTTATAAATGCAGGTCTCGTTAGTGATTTTGGAGCAAATAGTCTTTATGGACATTTGGGCTTCAAGCGGTGTGACTGGTGAACTCAATTTCTGTTCCCTGATGAGAGGCCAGCAAGCAACAGCATCCTATTTCTCCCTGACAGTGGTGGTGAGGCTCACAGGCTTCCTCCCTGTGGGCAATCTTCTGCCATCACGCCAGCAGGAGCCTTCATGACCCCGTGTCATGTGTAGAGGAGGTTTCACAAGGGAGTTGCACCTGGTGCTATTCCACCCTCCGCAAGATATGTCCGTGGCGTCAGCATGTTGCTGTAGGTTCTGAGGCTGGAACATGTTCAAAGTAAGTCTAGGCAAAGGATTTCTCTCTGTTCTGCTTCTCGCTATTACTCATGTGGATGTTGTAGTTATTTAGGGCTTGTCTACAAGGGGAAATTTTACTGGCATAACTATACTAGTATAATTATACTGGTATAACTCCCCAGGTGGACACTCTTAGGCCTGGTCTACACTACGACTTTAGGTCGAAGTTAGCAGCGTTACCTCGATTTAACCCTGGACCCGTCCACACAACAAAGCCCTTTTTTTCGACTTAAAGGGCTCTTTAAATCAATTTCTTTACTCCACCTCCGACGAGGGGATTAGCGCTGAAATCGGCCTTGCCGGGTCGAATTTGGGGTAATGTGGATGCAATTCGACGGTATTGGCCTCCGGGAGCTATCCCAGAGTGCTCCATTGTGACCACTCTGGACAGCGCTCTCAACTCAGATGCACTACCCAGGTAGACAGGAAAACTTTTGAATTTCATTTCCTGTTTGGCCAGCGTGGCGAGCTGATCAGCACAGGTGACCATGCAGAGCTCATCAGCATGATATGCACATTGCCGGGGCACGTTGCCCAGCCTGTACTTTGTGAGAAGTCTATGACCATGTCTATGTCCTCATCCCTCTCATCACCGCGCTGCCGTCGCCTCCTCGCCTGGTTTGGCGCAAAACAATTGTCTGCCGTTGCTCTGACAGAGGGAGGGGCGACTGACGACATGGCTTACAGGGAATTAAAATCAACAAAGGGGGTGGCTTTGCATCAAGAAGAAACACAAACAACTGTCACACAGAATGGCCCCCTCAAGGATTGAACTCAAAACCCTGGGTTTAGCAGGCCGTTGATTTCACAAAACAAATTGGGTCAATTTCTTGTTTTGATCCACTCCATCTATCTTTTACATCTTAGGCTGGCAGCAGACGGTGCAGTACGCCTGCTAGCCATCATCATCTCCTGGCTGCTCGCCAGAAGACGGTGCAGTATGAGTGCTAGCCATCGTCATCTCCTCGGTGCTTGGCAGAAGATGGGAATGACCTGGCTGAGTCACTCCCATGTCTGCCCAGGTGCCCCTGACCGACCTCACCGAGGTCAGCTAAAAGAGCACCAGGAATATGACAACGATGGCTACCAATCGTAATGCACCGTCTGCTGCCAAAAGGCAAGGAGCTGCTGCTGTGTAGCAATGCAGTCCCACGTCTGCCAGCACCCGGGAGACGTACGGTGACGGTGAGCTGAGCGGGCTCCATGCTTGCCGTGGTATGGCGTCTGCTCAGGTAACCCAGGAAAAAAGGCGCGAAACGATTGTCTGCCATTGCTTTCACGGAGGGAGGGAGGGAGGGAGGGAGAGGGGAATGTGAGTGCCTTTTTCTGGTTTAGCCTAAACCACTTCCAAAGTGACATAAATTTCACCATGTAGACAAGCCCTTAGATTCAGGGATTCAAAACACGCCCGTTGTCTCTCCCTACCTCTGAACACTCTCACTTCCAAACACATGGATCCAGGGAGAGGCTGGGTGAGTCCTCGCAGTGCAAACATGCTCAGTCACTCAGGAGTACATTTGTTCCCCTGTGCGCAGGCACATATCCCTATTTGTATGCCCCACACGCATTTGTGCAGAGGGAACCCAGACACGATGTTCATGGAAAAGGTTAGACTAAAAAGATCTGAACAGGGTCAGACTGAATCACGTCAGACACTGACACTTTCACAAAGCATCTTTTCCACTCTTTGCCCAGCTCCAGTCTCGAATACGAAAGACAAGCTTATGCAGCAGGAGAACAGGGAAGGGTTCCTCATGCCCCAGGACCACCGGCAGTACTGCTGACCTCCAATCCTTCTTCCACCCACATTCCCCCCCTTCCCTGTGGCCCTTTGGAGGACAGCCTCAGTCCTTCTCACACTAGCAAGTTGACAGGAGGGACCCCCTCCTGCATATCTCCGAATCACTACAGGAGAGAAGCCCTGATCCTGAGGACCTACAGAGATTCTCAGGACTGGAGTTCCCATTTTGCAGACTGTATGAGACCAGCAGCATCAGGACACAAGATGGTGGGTGAGGACAGTGGTTAGCAGGAGGCTTGGTGACCAGCAGCCTAAGGGGGCATTTCCCCCAGACCTCCTAAGGTCTACTGGTTTGGTTGTCCCATCCTGTGGACCTGCTAGGGTTTGCAGGAACAGAAAACATGGCAACCATTTTTTAAAAATAATCTAAGGAAATTCATCTCCAAAAATCCTTGTTCTGGTGAAGTTAAAGCTTCAGGCACACAGCCAAGATTGGAGTACTCAAAATGCAGAATTAAGTTGGCACTTTTCAAACTAGGTACCAAAACTACCTTAACTTTCCCAGCCTACCATCATCCCTTTTTTGGCACGTAGATTCACAGTGGTGCACCACTGAACACTGGTTTTCAGATCTAGTTCCTACCACTTTCCTCTCTGATGCTAAGTGAGCTACTTTGTCACTTCCTGATCTTTGCTCTTCTCAGGTAAGTGCTCTAATTTCACAGTCTAGCTCATATGAAGTTCATATATGGAGACACTCCAGCTCAGTGTCAAATGGTACCTGGAAAATTGGCTGCTACACAGAAACATTCTTAACTTCTCCTTAACAAAGATTTTTGTCTTGATATCTATAGACACCTGCAATCTCCCAAGTGTGGAACAACAGGTGCCACACTCGTGGGCAGACTTGAAGAGAATGGTTTAAAGACAACCCTAGGTAACGGTTAACGGGCTGCTTGTCAGGGTGTGATGTTTCCTAGAGCTAAAGTCGGGCAGAACACAAAGCATTTAAGACATTTTCCAGACCCATACCGCTTCGGAGCCACAGGCGCGCCTGGTACCATGAGCGTGTGGGAATTATTCCGGGAAGGCGGGGGCAGATGGGGGTCATGTTTCTGCACCCCTGCAGAGCTGCTTTTGGCGTCGACATCCTTGACCTTTACAATGGGATATCTACTGGACGATGGCTCTTGGAGAGAAAAAACAGAAAAGGAATCAGAAAAGGAAACGGGCTACATTAAGGGGCAAAAATCTCTCTAGAATCACTTGGGACCAGTGTTTTTGCTCAACGTCAAAATTAGTCAACCTGTTGGCACTGACGTCAATCTAAGCTGTCTCCAGGCCTTATGTATTTATGTACATTGACAGCACATGTAGTACCATTCAGCTTGGAAAAGAAACTAACAAAGCCACAAAATTCAAAGTTAAGGTCCATCCTGAAAGGGGGGGGGGGGGGGAACCAGGCCAGATGCTCAGCTGATATAAATCAGCGTACCTTCATTGACTTCAGTCACCTACATCAGCTGAAGATCTGGCCCATTAAGCATCACAACATGAATTGATCGAGATGCTTCTCTTGTGCTCTCATAGCTTGAGAGTGATGTTGTCTTTTAAATATCCCGGACAGATTGTAGTCGCTCGTTCCACATTATGGGAAAAAATGTTGTTAGAGTTCCGATTCATTCTGTAGATTTCAAATTGCATGACTGCCTGTTTTTACCCCAAATAAGACATTATTTAAATAATAATTTGAAGGTTCTCGACTCAATCTGGCAGGAATCTCAGAACAACCAGCCACGCACATTACAGTTAGGAGCACAGCCAGAACCCGGGTCCCACTCTGCATGCCTGGCCTTCACTTGCCGAAACCTACCCTCATGATGATATCTAAAATCCCAGCCAGCGAGTCCTTGCAACTTTTATTTACAAAAGGTGAAAATTCAGCCTCGTGTGTACAGGGCCTTGCACCACTTACGTTCAGTGGGGGGCTTTCTGCCCAGAGATGACTGTCACCCCAAAAGCACAGGAGAGAGAGTCGCATGCACAAACAAACCCATTCAAACCTCTACATTGTTCACCAGAGAAGATATTCAGCTAGACGTGACAAGGCAAGCAAAACACAAGCAACGTCACACAACAAACACTACTGAGCCTTAAAAGGCCATTAAGAGGCAGGTTCTGCCACCCGTACTCATGCAGAGTGGTGAATTTTAATGTCGTTCTATCACATGTGCCAAAAGGAGTTCCACCCGTTTCTGTGGAGCTCTTTGTGAAGGATGCTAATGTTTGACATAAGAATGGCAGAACCTGGCGCTTTCGTTGTGAAACAGATCCACAAAAGCAAGGTTAACGCTTATGGACTAAACTGCTTATAACAAGACTCCCCTTCCCATTCCTTTGTTCTCGCTGAGCGTGTATGTGGGTGTGTTAGCGACAGAAAGTGTCCGTGTATTGGAGATTTCGTCCTTTAATTGTGCGTTGCTTTTAAGATTTTGGAGCAGTGAGAAGGGGAGTGGTGGTTTTTTTGTTGTGAGGGGTTTTTGTTAGTGTTGTGGGGTTGTTGTTTTTTTGCAACCCAGACATTTTTTAATGTTCTTTGTTGGGTGAACTTGACAATACTGTAATTATAATTCAGTGATATTAACACAAAATGATTCCATTATAGAAATAACGTGTATCACTATGTTGCAATATGGAACATGTTTTTTTAAAAACAAGAGCACCAGAAAGGACACACAGAGATAAAAGCCCATGCCCAAAGCCATGCAAGCACATCAGAAAAGCCATCCTCTATACTACCTAAAGGATGAGAAGGGGACCATTCCTCATTCAAAAAACTGGGGTTCACCACACCAGACTTTTGCTTTTTGGAGATGAGGACAGGGATGCGGGAGGTGGTGGAGAATTGGTAGCTGGGAACATTGGGTAGCTGCTCTATTGTGCCTTGGGAGGAAGGGGAGGAGCTCCTGCAGTCAAGCGGCTGGTCATGCACCAGGTGATCTAACTCAACGTCTCTGGTTTGCTTGGACATGATGCTAGGAGCCTAGGCGCTTCAAGCAAAGGACAGGGCGTCTGAAGCTGCAACAAGAAAGATAGAATCAGGTGAGACAGTCTTGTTTTAGTTCCAGATGAGCTGTTTCTTTAAAAGAGAAATACAACATTGGTGGTGATTTTTGTTTTAGTGCTCACAAGGGCGAAAGCTAATAGCTTAGAATCAGGAACAGAGGTAGCAAGTGCCATACAGGCTTCCCTTACACATGTAACTCCGGCAGGTGGGATTGAACCTGGGACCTCGGTAGCTAAATGCGTGAGCTGCTACTGCATGAGCTGAAAGCCATAGGGCGCTTTGCTAAGGCTGTATAGCAGACTCATTAATTTCCCTCTCTCTAAGTGGTCCCAGTGCCACTAGCTGGGCCAGAACACCACACTCAGGAGATGTGTGGGATACACACAACTTTACTAAGGGGCCTCTGTCCTGATTTTCAGCACCCAGCGTTATTTCACTACTGAGTCGCATCTAAACAGAGACTGAGAGTCATGACAAAATTGCAACAGCAAAGGTCCCCTGAGGAACTAGACTGTCACCACCAAATACATCTCCCATCTGAGCCAAGCAACGTTCTCCAGAAGGGAAAGGGCAAGTACCCCTTTCCGCTGCTTCGCTTCCCCTGCCTGCCCAGAGCCCACTGTTTTCACTTTAAGGCCTTTCCAGATCTAATGTCTCTCATTCATCAGTTGCCCAGAATACGAAACAAGCAGTCTCCAAAGCACAAGTCCTAGTGGAATATGAAATTGCACCAGTCTGAAGGGCAGACATTCACGATCCCTATTCCCATCCAGCTGAAATGAATCTGTATCACAGATAAGACCCAAAGATTAAAAGAAGCATTAAGGGTCAAATGTTCAAAAATGTCTATACATTCTAGGTGCCTCTAGTTTTGGAAGCCCACCTCTAGACTCCCAGAAGCCTGCTGCTACCATTGGCTACAGCAGCAGAAGAGGCTACTCAGCACTTTGAAAATCACACTCTAGGTGCTTCAAAGCAGACACCCAAAAACGGAGGCACCTGGAATTAATGGACACTTTTGAAAACTTTATTTGGAATATAAACTCTTTTCTCTCTCCATGTTCTTGTTGCGCTGGCAGTAAAATCCTGGAGAGAGAGGGCTCCATCCCTGGTCTTGGACACAAAATGTTTCCTGTGAGGCTAGGCTGTGACTCGCATCATTCTATTTGTCTTCTGCTGGAATCCAGTGTTGTATACCTGAGTACCATCGCAGCCCAAACCGTAACGTTGATATCACTTTTCTGTTCTGTGGTCTTTTCATACAATGCGCAATGGTCATCTACAATCATCTGCCAACACAATGCTCTTCTGCTCTCCCACCAGGCAGGAGAGTGTCGGGGAATAATGGACAATGATGAAACCAGGCATCAGGCTCTAAGAATTATCCATGTGGTATTTTATTTTAAAAGAAAATTGAAATCACTACAACTATAGAGCCATATTCTGCGCTGAGTTTCCACAGCACTGGAGGCATCATAGCACTGGTTACAGATCCCTGATTCTCTGCCCAGCCCCAGGGCAGGGTAGAGCCACCTGGGGGCTGCTCTAACCTGCATCCTCTGGCAACAGCACTCAAAGGACTGCCTGCCAGGAGAGTAAGAGCACAGTACGTGTTAGTCATGCCTGTTTCCTGTCTCAGCCTGTCCCTGATACAACCCCTGTGCCAGGGTCTCTGCAGGCGCTATTCCAGCTCCGCTCCCAGTGGAGAGGCTCCCATGCTGTTGAATACCTAGCAGGGGAGACAAGGCCAAATTCCCTCCCATATGTGCTGCCAGAGCAATGCAAAGGGGACTAAGTGGAGCAGAGAATCTAGCCCATAATTCATTTCCTGGCTAATTGCTACTGGTTTGGATTCAGCTTGCTGTTGCTTTCGTGTTGAAGGAGGGTTTAGGAGAATTATTTTGAGACTATCCTTGCGGGAAATTGCACTTAAATGCAGATGCCTAGGAACCTTTTAAGCTCTTAACGCAAGGCTTGTATGAACGTAAGCAGTCCATAGGGGCCTGTGAACTTCAGTCACAGAAAAGACCTGCCCTGCAGTGTTGTTGCTGAAATTGTAATGTTCTATCCAATGTAGCTGCACGAACACACACTTGGCAGTTAAAAAAAAAACTCTCAAAAAAGTCATAGAGCAATGGGTCAAATCCTCCCTCAGGTAACTCCACTGAACTCAGCGGAGCGATGCCAGGAATTACCTTGGCCCAGTGAGTCTCTGATAGTCTTACGAATCAAGTCCTACTCTAATTTTTGTTACCAAAACGTTACCTCCTAAGATGTTAAATTAAAATGCATTTTATGTAGACAGTTAATTTTCAGATAAAACAAGGTAGCTGAGAAAAAGACTTTTTTCTCCTCCATGTCTCCTTCAGCTGAAGGAGAAATTCTTATTTCACAGCAAGGTTAACTTAATCAGCAAGATTAAGTGCTGTGTAACTACCAGTCTCTTATATCTGGGCATAACTGATAACAGCATCGCTGCTGAATTGCTCCTATAGGATACTTGCAACTAGTAAAAGACCGCAGAAAGCAGGCCCCTCGCACAGAAGAATCACTTGTTCGTTTCTATCGAATAAGAATTCCAAAGGGTTAGTCTATCCGTCGTTTTTTTCTCACCAGACATCTCATTGCCACTTTGTGGTTATAATAATTCCACGCCATTCTGCATTATATACTGTACCTTCAGCATCAGTTCTGGCAGCTCCAGCTTTCTCCTCTTCCACCTTCACAAAACAAACAGACAGTTCTAAAGAAAAACCTCCCCTTCCATTACAAAAAGCAAAACAGAAAAACAATCCTTTATACGCAAGGGTTGGATTTCAACGCAGTTTTGGTAGCAAACTGAGAGTTAATATTTCTAAAATATGTTAACAAGTTCCCCTGTATCTGGGGGAGAAAAGACAGAGGTGGTCTGGATGATCAACATATCAGCTGTGAGCTCCTTTTATACAGTTCATTCGTTTTAGAGCAAAGACGCTTCTTGGAGGTTGTGACAATTATTTTTTTCCTTTTCAATTAATTTTTTAAATACTGTATAACACTATAGGGGCACATGGGAAATACTAATGCAATGTGATGAGCATAAAGTGTACATTGGCAGTTCTACAGCATCCAGAACACAGCGCTGGGCATAAAACTCTGCCCTTTACTGACGCAATAGGTGCCGGGGGTGCTGCCGCACCCCTGGCTTGAAGGGGTTTCCATCACATCCAGGGTTTACAGTTTGGTTCAGTGGCTCTCAGCTCCCCCACTGTACAAATTGTTCCAGCCCCCCTGAATAATGCACTTTTGGGGGGGGGGGGCAGTGTGTAGAGCTTCTAGTGTTTTATAAGGGGAAACACTGACCATTTATCTAAATTCGGCACCCAGGCAGTCTCTCTCTCCCATATTTGTAGTTTTCAAACTTTTTATTTTCACGGTGTCTAGCTGCCATCTGTTAGCATCCATTAATAAAGTACCTAAATATGTCACAATCCCGAACCCCCAGCTTCACGACGGTATTTCGTCTCCTCACTTTCCTCTGGGTCTTCTGTGTCCAGCTTTCTATCTTTACTGCTGAGCTGCTCTATCTGAAGCAATTGAAACTCCCTCAACTTCTAGGGCTTTCTAGATTTTCTTTTCCAAAGCAAGTTCAAGACTGCAGGGGAGTGGGTCCACGCTATCACTGCTCCTTGCCCCGTGAACTATTTCTTCTCTAGTTCCAAAAGCAAAGCCTAAACATGTACCCGGAGGCAAACCCAGCTGACGAAGGTCCTGAACACCGCGGAATTGGTATGGGCTCTGCGCCACAGAAAAGGGGCGGGAAGACCTTGCAAGAGGTGTGCACCCTTTGCACATCTCAGGGCACAACGACATAGGCAAAGCTACCTTTCCCTGGACAAAGAGGGAGTGGTTGGGGGAGCAGGGGGGTTGGAGCAAGGATGGAGGAGGAGCAGAGCCAGTAGCTCTAACAGACAATTTCTGCAATAAAGGCTCGGCTGCTTCAGCTACTTCTCCCGCAGCCTGCAGAAAAGAACGGCCAGAATCTGCCCGGCTAGGACGCTCCCTGGGCAGAAACCAAAGCATTATGTCTCCACAGGGATCATCCTTAAACTGGCAAGTACTTGTTTCTGGAGAGGCCGGTTAGCAACCTGAACTGCAAGACTTGGAAGCATTCTTGTACCTGTAGCAAAGGCCCTTTGGGAACAGCCCCCTGGTCTTCTTCTAGCGGCTCCAAACCCGGGCCAGCGGCTGCAAAGGCGCACTCATCCAGCTCTCTGCTGTAAGCAACGCAAGGAGAGTGAGGCAGGGATCTACAGAACGCAGATGAAAAGCAGCGAAATAAGAACAGGATTTCTGCCAGCCATTTCCGAGCCTGGGCATATTACGGACAAGAGACATCAGGGGAGTGGAAATGTCTCTAAGGGAAAGGTCTCTTGAGTGTCAGGTTGCAAGACCATTGCTTCATAGGCTATCTACTCAAGCCCATTTGCAGATTAATGAGAACACACAACTATACCAGAGACCTAGGCAGGGAGCTGAAGGGAGAGAGTCTTAATAACTGTTGTTATTATAAGAGGCCATGGTCCATTTAGCCATTTGCAAAGCCCGCTCTAAAGAAAATAGATATTGACTATTCCAAATTTTTGACAAAAGCACCTTTTTCATGGCACTACCCTGCAGCCTTTAACTAAAAATAGACAAATATCAATGAAACGTAATGCATGAGATGAAAGTTTTAACTAGTGTGTGAGAAGAGACGTTCTTATAATGTTGGAAACAATATTAAGTGGGAGACCAAGTGAAAATCATATAAAACATACATTTGTAGGAAAACAAACTCATCTTGCTGTGCTCAATACATTTCTAATTTAAGTGAGAGCCATCAAATAACAGCAGAGAGCCCGATTTTCCAACAGGAGCACCTGTATACACCATCTAAACCCCCCATTTCCACATCTAAATTGTCAATGTAACACATAATGTTC